CCCAGGGGGGCGAATCTCCTAGGAATATCGCCCCCCTTTAGGAATTTCGCCCCCCCCCCCATATAAATTTTGAATTTTTGATCTAAAAACAAAACGATCATGTTGTCGTATTCTTCTGGCAGTTTACATTCACATAACATATTATAAAAACAATTGCTTGCAAATTTTATCAATACGAGTGTTAACAATAGCCGCCACAGTAATCACTTGCTAACAACAAACTATAGGATTAGTAAAAAATCAATGGAATGTGTTGAGAAGCGTATTGACTATTGTCCGTTGAATCGTCAACTTTCCGTGTCAGTGATGTAATCTTGATTCTTCACTTCGCAAAGAAAATTGCATTATATATGTGGTGTGGTTTATTCAAATAATTTCATGATACTTTGATTTTATTAGTGCATGCCTTAAACATTTGGGAATGTAACTCTGCAAAACTGAAAGCTTTCTTGTCTTTTTTGAAACGTATATTATTGGATTATTGCCTATTGGCAAGTTCTGCCCTTCGCTTCTGAGATTTACAAACTATATTGAAATAATGCAAGTAAAAAATAGTGACAAACCATACATTTTCCGATAACGACAAAACGTGGATGCAAAACAATACCAATAATTACAATAACCACCACGGTGATTACTTTTTAACAATGAGTTTAAGGATTAACACTGAAAATGCAAAATATGCATGGTGTGCTGTGAAGCGTCATAAGTCCTATTGAGTATTGATCTACTGTAACTGTGTAAAGCCATTTCGATACATGTAATTGTAAATTTGTATTCTTACATGCAGGGCTTGAAATAACGTTCCCAAAATTCCCGATCATGGTGATCGGCAGTCGTAACTTTCCCTGCTTTTTTCAGGTTGGAAACCGAAACCCTGCTTTTCCGCCGATCATAAGCAATTCCTTGCCGATCATTGATCGGTGATCGGTTGTTATTTCAAGCTCTGTCTTAACAATTTTGAATTGATACTGATTTCAAATGATTAAAGCCATGTAATAATTATCCCATGTAACTGTTAGGAAGGGCGAAATTTTGAACGGAGGACGAAAATCCTAAAGAAAAGGTGAAGTTTCTAAAGGGGGGCGAATTTCCTAAAGGGGGGCGAAATTCCTAGGATTTTCGCCCCCCTGGGGGGGCGATATTCCTAGGAATTTCGCCCCCCGGGGGGCAAAAATGTAGGGGGGGCGAAAATCCTGGGACAACGGAAAGGTCTATGTATTTATGTAAATTGACTGAAATATTATGTAAATTTCGTCTCTTATTATTATACGCGTACGGCGTACCCGCCGATTTTATAGCATGTGCGTTTTATGGCAATCGGAAAATTTATCAGAAGTTCTAAACACGAAACCGCAAAGGCTGCTTTAGAGAAAGACGATCGACAATATCTTAATTAACAATATCTTAAAGATATGTAACCGAAGCGTTCTATTGAAGACTTATTGAGCGCTGTGAACATAACAAGCTTCTTCCTCGCACCGCGAAATTTTGGTGCGGAATCTTACATCCCGAAGTACGTTCGAGAGAAAACAAAAAAGTTTTGTACGGCCTTAAGGTAAATATATTCTATTTTAACTAGATATAGCATTATAGCTGTTGTAGGCTGTAGTGGATTGCGCGTCTGGACTGTACGTAATAAGAGACGAAATTTACATAATATTTCAGTCAATTTACATAATACTGCGGCTTAATACTGCGGCTTAATACAAGCAGTTTCAGTTTGTTTATACTTTGTCTATGCCTCTTGTGGAATGTGGGCTTTATATATTGATCAGATACTCAATAATACTGTATTATTTATACCTAGTTGTCTAATATATTAAAACTACAAGCACATGACAATGTGGCATGGCTTTGTGTAATACGATCTCTACATTATGTATACAACAAGTAATGAAGTAAAATGGATCATGTTGCCATTGTGAATATTCATGGCATTTGTTTCTGCTATGAATATTAAAACTCGGAAAGCAGTGAATTAAACGCGGAAATTTTCTTCCTGCGAATTAACAATCAATCAAATGTTTTTCAAAACCGCATCGCTATATAATTTTGAAAATCTTTTGACCATTCATGTAAATTAAGGACAAAATATGGAGTTATGTGTTTCCTAGGCATGCTGACGAGACCGGAATTGGGCGAAACAGTCATTTTCACGTAACATTTTTTCGTAAAACTGGATACAAATTAATTCGCTTTGCGACCCCCCCCCCCCGTTAAAAGAACCCCACCCCCCCTTCGATGTTCAGCAACGAAATTTTTGACTAACGTACGAAAAATCCTAGATCCGCCTGTGTGAACGAGATCTCGGCGTTTTTGTGGATCAAAGCTTAACCTGGAACAGACAAATGTACGAGCAGTCACCAAAATGAAATAAAGTATTGGGTTAAATCAGGAGATCCACACTGTATATCCATAACCAGGAAGTGAGACACACATTATACCTTGCACTGGTTCGGCCACACCTGGAGTATGCTACCCAAATATGGGCACCACAATCCATCGAATTAACTAATACGCCAACTTGAACGAACACAGAGAAGAGCAACCAAATACATCTTTAGTCTTCCATTCTCCTCCTCTACTGACTATACCAGCAGACTTCAAACCTTAGGCCTCTTACCAATCTGCTACTGGCATGAATATCTAGACATGGTGCTCTTTTATAAAATAACTCACAAGCTAATAGTCATCGAAGCATCACTTCGATCTTCATCCACTCGATCCACTAGATCCTCCGCCAATAACAGTCCTAAGTTCGTCGTGCAAAAATGCCAAACGGTAACATATCAACTAGATTTTTTATGATTCGGGCAACTCGAATATGGAACCATCTCGCTGATGAACTTAATTTGAATACTGATAGTCTTTCGTCATTTAAGTCGGCAATGTTTAAATATTATATTTCCTCTTTGTACCGTGTTACAATATTGAGGATTCCGTCGCAGTCACAAACCATACAGAATGTCCTAAGACTAAGTGTACCCCGTTCTGCGTCCCCACAACGTTATTGTGCTGCACGCAGGAACTAGTACCTCGTTCTTTGTTGTTTAATATGGGTATTGTTGTCATTTATTTGTTTCGCCCGCAGTAATTGGCTTCGCAATTACGCTGTTACATGGAATCCCTGCCACTGTAATATGTACAAGGCGAATTAAATAAAGAAAATAAATTTGGATATAACATGCACGAGTGAGTTTTTCAAAGACCTCAAAATATCATGAGTCCGAAGGACGAGTGCTATTTCAAGTCTTTGAAAAACTCACGAGTGCATGTTTATCCAAATTTCACGAGAAACCATGCTATATTATTTATTAATAATTTATATAAAAATGTTCGAGACAATTGTAGTTATAATTTACGTTTATAGCAGACAGTCCACTGGCAAAGTTTTCCTAGTTTTGTTATGTATTATTTAAAAAAACGAGCTGGAGTGTTTTATTAGGTTTAAAGCCACGAGCGCGCAGCGCGAGTGGCTTTAGACCTAATAAAACACGACCTGCGAGTTTTTTAAATGGCTTCAAAAACGTTTGCATAATAAGTCAAATCTTTATATAGAAATCTTTATATAAAAATCTTTATATAAAAATCTTTATAT